TAAACAAAATTCAGATTCTGATCACAGGCACAAATAGTCTAACTCACACTCTTTTATTCTTTTTTTTTTTCAGACATTGAGGACCTCACTCGCAAAACTGGCAACTTCAAACAGTTTCCCATTTTCTGTAGCATGCTGGAATCAGCTGTTAGAAAGGTGTGTTTGAAGGTGCACTTCAATGGGGGGAAAGAAATGTAGAGATGGCACAAATGTTACAAAGTCACTAGAAAGATGTGAACCGACACAGATTCGCTCAGGGCTGTGTGAGCTAAAGCGAGGCTCGTTCATTCGAGTTCAGTGTTTCCACTTGAGTGAAAAATGCACAGTTATCCCGAGCTGTGTCATTCCTCCTCTCCTCTTCATTAATACACAGGAACAGAGAGCCTGGAGGAAAATAAGAGATACAAGTGGACATTGGTCTCAACTGAACTGTCATACACATCCAGTACAAACAGATTCAGCTATTCAGATTGTTGCTGTTTAGTTTGAGTTTGTAAGTGAAGTAATTTCCACTTGGTGGCCATGAAGTCTGTTTTATTTCTGATGCTGCGCAGTTAACTTGAGCTGTTTCTGCAGACGAGTGATTCTGTTACACTTGACCTCCTGACCTACGCTGACCTGGAGCTGCTACGCAACAGGAAGGCAGGAGTGGTCAGTCGACCTCGCGGCCATCAGCAGTCGTCTGCTCTCACTGCCAAAAGATATCTAATCCTCATATACACTGTGGAGTTTGACAGGTTTGTCTCATACGTTACATTGTGTTTCTTAGTGTTTTGGTTACGTCAGAGGTAATAACGGTTGTGATTTGCTGACTGTCTTCTATTTGTAGGATACATTACCCTTTACCGCTGCCCTATGTGGGTAAACCTGACCCAGCTGCCCTGCAGAAGGAAGTCAGAGCTCTGCGGGCTGAGCTCAGCACTGTCACCTCTCAGGGAGTTAACAAATCTGCAGAGCTAGAAGTACAGCGGCTACGAGCAGAGTAGGTTGCACCTGATCTGCGTCACCGTGACCAATACGATGTAGGACACTTTTTGATGTCTCCTACTGTTTTCAAGGCTGGCTCTGGTGAAAGAAGAGAAGGAGGCCATGGCTAAGGTCCTGGAGCGGCTGCAGATCGGTGGAAGCGGTTCCTCACCTGGACAAGAGGACTGGAGGGTCAGAGATGTGGTGAGGACGCTGGAGGAGCAGCTTGTAAAGGAGAGGGCCAAAAGTCAACGCTCAGCGAGCAAGAGATGCCAGGAGCAGCGTCTCCTGTGTGAACAGGTGCACCTCCTCTGCTCCTCAGAGTATTCAACCGGCCGGCCTTCTGTTACTGTGCTGGTTTTAACCTTTTTGTCCTCTGTGTTGGCTAGTTGGAGGAGCTGAGAGCTTCAGAGTGCGCTCTCCGCGTTCGTGTCAAGAGTCTCACCAATGAACTGGCGTTACTACGGAGAGGGTTAGACAATCTAAGCGTGTACTATATCTTTACTTTCTGTCTCTTTCATTCATTCACGTACAATCTGGAGTGAACATATACAGGCTGAGTTTTATTGACCTACTTAGTGCACGCCCCTTTTTGTGTGTCTGCAGCAGAGTGACTCCTGTGTCTGCTCACATCAGCTCTCGGGTTGACGGGGAGGTCTATCGCTCGCTCTCCCGCGAGAGGAGGACGGGGTACGGCACGGTCAGGGCTCGCTCGGGTTCCAGAGAACGGATGGAGGAAAGAGGGCAAAGGTCAGAGGAAAGAGGAAGAAGAGCAGACTCCTCGGGACCACGCGCTCGCATACCCAGGCCGTCACCATCTCCCACCGGTACCGGCTCTGCTCGTGATGTAGTTTGATGTTTTTTCTAATATTCTAAATGTGATTCTGTGTTTGATCTCAATAACCCCACCTGCTCTCTTAAAGGTTCACGCGGACCCCGCTTTGACCCGACTGCTTATATCCAGGACAGACAGCGAAGGCTGAAAGAGGCAGAAGTCAAAAAGTTGGTTTCCATTAATTTTCCTGCAATGTCCTCTGACAGCACGCCAGTGTTTGCATCTGCTCCGAACAACAGTTTTAACCCAGTTTTCTGTGTCAGACAGAGGAAGGTACGTAGAGACATGCTGACGTCACCCATTGTCCCCGAGAGGGGCCGTTCACGTTCCAGAGAGGCCTATCCTCAGATGTCCCGGTCTGGCAGCAGAGGCAGGAGTTTATCTGTGGAGCGGAGAGGGAGCAGGAACTCCTCTGAAAGCTCGTTAGTGGATATGGAGGAAATGGCCAAAACTCTGTTCAGGTGATTGGACTACCTCAGATTCAGGTGTTTTGAATTGTCCGTTGTTTTAGCGGATTATTTGAACGTCTGCTTTTTTGTGTGTGTGTTTACAGAGGAAGAAAACAGACTTACAATGGACCCAGCGTGGTGAGTGACATGCTAATTAATGTAACTGGGACACTGTTAATTGCTGCTCTCTCATTTGTTTTGTTTTTTAAAGTATATGGTTGGGTTTGTTATTGTGTTTTTCTTACCGTCAACAAATCGCCTTGAAAAGAGGAATAAGCTAAATATATGAAGCTTTGACTGAACAAGCAAAACTTGTTTGTAAAATCAGTTCATTGTTAATTTTGGGCTTTCTTGACAATAATTAAACATGAAATATCACTTATCGCCTTATCTTTTTAATGTGCGTTGTATCGGTTTCTAGTCTAGAGGAAGCCTTCTGACCAGGAAACCACTATGCAGTACTCCATCACACAGAATCAAAGACAAAGGTAACTCCTCACAAGTCTTTTACATTGTTGCTGCAGTAGAATGATTTTAATTGGGTTAAAATCCACACATTACAACATCTTATTCTGATTTTACAACCCCAGAGTGCTCCGTAGATACTGGTGCTGAGCTGTCGGAGATCGATGCCAGGCTGCAGGCACTTCAGGAATACATGAGGGACCTGGATACAGGGCACTAACAACCACTGCACAACCTGCTGCATATGTTACCTGACGACTGCACAGCTTGGAGCTCAGGCCATCTTGTTTTCTTTCTTTGTGTACTGTGCACAGTCTGAGGGACACGTGAAGCGTTTAAGAGACTACAAGTCCCTCTGGAGGATCAGCCTTCCAGGACTTCAGGGAACTACAGCCATCATCACTGTGAAAGACTACTTTTTTGTGGACTAAAATTATAATTTTTTTAATATGCCAAGTTTTTTATTAATAATTTAAAAGACGACTGTCGAGTGTAGTGTCATCCTTTCTTTTTTACACCATCTAGTTACATGGATGTAAAATGTGGCAGTACTTGTTGATGTTTTCTTTCCTTTTTAAAAAAAATGTGATGTTATGATTGACAGTATGGGTTGTGTTCTTTCATCCTCCAGATCCTTTTTTTTTTAAATGGTTGGTTATCTAAAAATGAATTTTCTCCCTGTGTGCATCATCTCTACCTTTTTATAAACACATTGAAGTTAAACAGAAGCATCCATAACCATAGACTGTTAAACCTGTGATGGACTTTTGTCTCTTCCACCCAGTGCATGCTGGGACACACTCAATCTTGTTTACTCTGAAGGGCAACAAGCAACTAGAGGACATGACTGACTGCATGCTTGTCGTAGGATTTGGTGTTTAAATGTCATTCCAGCCAAAGTCTGTATTTTCCATCTGCATGTTGTAATGTATGTTCTCTTTCCTGCTCGACTTTAAACTACAGTGCATTTTTATAGTTTGACTTTTTAATTAACTGATCCGCATACTGCATTAAACATTTTCTACTGTTTGAACCTAAGTGCACCAACTTTCCATTAGATGTTACATCCCATAAATCCCAATTTGTGTAAGGGAACAATGCTCATCATCACACTGTTTTGGATTGACTGTGTTGGTATTTGTGTACACTAATCCATACTGTACCGTATGAACACTGACGCCTTTTTTATGATAGTAAAACTGCCAAATTTTGTATGAAACCGCTGTAAGTGTGTGTGTTACTCACTTTTTCCCCAGTCTGATGCCTTTTTGTACCACCTAAAAATATAATTTATAACAAACGTATCCTCTGTGTAAAAGCCTTTTTTGTGATCCTTACAGTTTTGTTTTTTTTACATACCATTTTCCTTTGCTCTAGTGTCAGCTATAGTGGAGCCTGTGGGAAACCTTGAAGGGTTTCCACCACTGCAGCTGGCTTGCTTTCATTAATTAACAAATAACCTTCTGGGCAGGGAGCCTTCCTCTCTGGGGAACAACTCGCTGTCTGAATGAACAGCTGCTCCGTTTCTACTGGGATCCTCAGGAGGGAGACATGAACACCTAGTGTTGGTTTATGTCATGAAGAAAGAGTGCACACTGTGGCAAGATACATATATTCACAATATCTAAGCTATGTGCAGAAAATACTTATGATTTTAGAGGATATTCTTGAAAAGAGGAAGAGAAAGGAATTATTTCTATTCTTTGCATAAAGTTACATATATATCATTGTCTTGTCTCTTCCTACAGGTCTCCTTCACAACAAACATTTCCTAAGGGACATTTTTTGTAAAACCATGAAGAGATAACACTTCCCATTTCTGTTATTTTATTCATTTATTATAACAACTGGTACCAAACATATAAAATGATACTAGAGTAAAATAGTAAGGCATGTACGGTAAACATCCAGTGTGGAAACCATCAAATTGATTCAGACTCTACACCATATTTTTGGTATGAAGCAGCTACAACCATTTGTAAAGGTATTTGCACAACCTAACTACATACCTTGTGTAGTTAAAGTGCTCAGTGTGTTACAGAACAAAACTGTCAGTCCACCTGAACATAATTATAACGGAGTACCTGAAACCCTAATTCTATAATATAAGATTCTGTTATGTTGTGGCATTGGTCCTTAGTACGCTCCTCTCTTTCCATACTGGTAAAACATACATTCAATATGAAATAAAATAAGGTCCTTGTAGTGTGAGGAAGAACAAAGGCATCTTTTTATTCCCTATCAAAACACAATTCTCTTGTTCAAGCCTGTCCCGGCTGGTTCACGTTGGTCACAGTGGTCGGCATTGCTTGGTTTCTTCGACTGTTCAGTATGGCCTGAATGCTGAGCGTGAGCTATGGGGAGGATATGATTGAAACATGAGAATTGGCTATTGGCATATAGATGTACAGATACACACACACACACACACGTGTAGAAATGACTTACTGATTGCTGCTGTGTGAGAACGTCTCGATAAAAGGCCTGTCTACGTTCCTGCTCCTTCTCGTCACACACTTTCCAAATCTGAGCTTTGGTCATAACCAAAGTCTCCGGCAGCTGAGGATACTGTTGCCGCTGTAACATAAAGTAGAGAAGGTAGAAGGTAATATGTAACATTAGGTTGGAGTTTATGAACCATTTGCATTGTTATCTGACAAATAATGTGCTGCCATGCATTTAACCAAGAGCACACAGCTAAAGCTCACTGCTCAAGGCTCAACCACAAAGTAACATTTCCTGTAGAGCAGGAAAAAAAAGTTTTGACCTTTACCAACTTTCTTTTATAGATTATTTATGTATGGGATGGATAGAGATTTGTGTTGATGTTTGTATGAGTGATTATATAGTGAATTTGTGAGAATGGTTTGCTGATTTATATTCTGAAAATCTTAAAAAAAGAAACTGTTCATTTCTTAGTTATGTCCTGAGACAATATAAACATTAATATTGGTTCTCTCATTGATTCTCCATTAAAAATCCCCTTGTTGTATTAAACCATTGTGTGCAGTGTTGCTTTATGGTAATACTGGATTTTTACATTATTTTTGCATCAGTGTACCTGAACCAGTGTATGTGTTATTTGATTATTCCAAAGTGGATATTCCTGTCTGTTCATATTATTACTTAAATTGCAACCAATTAACCGAAAGAAAATGTACTATTTCACAACATATATACATATTTCTACATGGAATTACACATATTGTGACAAAGGATTACGTACATATTAGAGTGACTTCTAAATTATTTTTCATTATGGATTGAACTGCCGATATGTTTCTGTTAATATGTCTATAAATTAGTGGAACATGTAATCGAATTGCTTGTTTTGTACAAAAACTGTTTGACTTTTTTTGCTTTAAATTGAAAAGATCAATTCCACCCAAATAACCGTAGTTATTTTTTTTTTCTGTCTGAATGTCCTTGATTTAGCAAAGAGACCTTAAGGTCACTCACCACTCGTGACATGTAGTCCTCGTAAGTGTGAGACCTCATCCTCTGCAGCGACAGGAACGCCTCCGATACATTCATTCTGCTCTTGTTAAGCAATTCCTGCGAAGACATTTTTATGTAACATGTTAAATAAAACACACACGTACCCAGCAGCAGTTCTACAAAAAGGTTTTAGAAAATGATATTTATTCATACCAATAGCTGTTCATTTGTCTTCATATTCAAGGTCTCCTGGCTGGAGCTGAGTAGAAGACTGGCTGTGTTTGACTGAGAAAAAAAAACACACATTTACATACAGTAAACACACAGAATGATAATGTAAAACACAGTGCAGAAAGTCTAGGGCATGCAATTTCACCAAATGGAGTCCTGATCATTTCTGCTTTGCAGTGTACAGCTCTTTACCTCAGCCTCATACTCAGCCCAGGCATCTTTGCGTTCTGCCTCACTGAGCTCCTCCTCTTGTTTATGGTCCAGCAGAGATTCATGCTCGTGGAAAGACACTATCTGATCTTTACAGGTTAGTAATAGCTGTGCCAAGACTCTATCCTGAGAAACAGATACAGACAGTCATTAAATACCCAGAAATACTCAGTATAAGCCTTTCTCAGACAGCTGTGTATTATAGTTTTGTGGCAGAAACCTAAAAAATAAAGATGGTGACGTCACCTTTGGCAAAACAGAGGTGGTTCTTTTGCTTTTCTTAGAGATTGGGTCATCCAGCAGGTCTGGCTCGAATATGTAAAGTTCAGTCAGTTCAAAAAGGGTAAAGTGCCTCTCAATCTGTTGCTGGTCCACCACACGATAGGACAAAGACTGCTTGGTCACCTGACGATCATAGATCTTCTCCTCCATGGTGCCCTGGAGGTGCAAATGACCACAATAATAAACAGGACTGAAAGGTTTATAGGTTCAGTCAGAATACAGCTGCTCCAAGAGAAATTATGTTTTTGTTCCTGGATTGAAAATGTATGAAAATGTTTTCAGAATGTAATCTAGAAGTCATCAGTCTTTAACCTTCACTCTTTCCATCTTTATATTCTTAATATTAAGGCCTAGGATATTGCACAGAACTTCAGGCAGTCGTTGCCAACCTTCTTGATATGTAACCCTTTAAGGTTATGACCTCTAATCATAGGTTGCATAGGTTGTCTATGAGCTGCGAGCAGCAGTAGAGAGCCATCTTTTAATGTCATTGTGTAGATACTGAGGGCTTTGTTTGCTATATGGTTGTCTTGGTCCATTAAATGATACAATATATGAAGGAATCAGTTGTTTTGTGCAAACAACGACGTAGTAAAAATATAAAAGATATGCCAACAACATTAACATTGCTTCTTTATAGTTGTATAACGATACAATATTTATGTATTCAAAGATACTTCTCAAATGTTATATTGCACAGGAAACAAATGAGTAACAGCAGTTGTTTCAGCTATACAAAAGTATATGAAAAATTCATACTATATGGTAAATTAAAACAACTATATGGGTTCATCCGATATATTGCCCAGCATCACTAAACAGTAACGTTGACTATCAGAATGACCACATTTTCTCACATTTAGGTGATATTACTAATGAAGACCAGTGAGCTTACCTGAGCCAAGAAGCGGTACACAAACACTTGTTTGAGCTGACCAAAGCGGTACACCCTGTATATGCTCTGTACGTCATATGAGGGATTCCATGAGGCATCAAAGATGATGACCCTGTTGGCAGCAACGAGGTTGATGCCAAGTGATCCGGCTCTCGTTGAGATAAGAAACAATCTGCCGCTAAAGCAAAGATACGAAAAATACAATCAGACATTCTATCATAATAGCCAGGTCGTCCTTGTAGATGAGAATTGGCTCTTAATTGACACATCTGGTTAAATAATGGTCAAATAAATACAGTATAATCAAAGATAGAAATAACAGGTAATCTGTACCGGACATTGGCAGTATTATTGAACTGATCTGCCCATTTCTTCCTCAACGGAGCATTGGTGGAACCATCAAGACGATAGTAATCAATGTTTTTAATCCAGCTGCCCGCTGTAAGAACAATGAAGCACAAAAATTAAAAGTGAAGTAATATTAGACATTTCCAAAATGCATTCATATTTTCTTTGCCATAAACAGAACACCTTTCAATGATGATGGGTCTCTGGCATGGTGAGAAGCCTCCAGGAAATTCTCAATCAGGTCTAATGAAATCAAGGACTGACTGAACACAAGCCTAAAGATGCAAAGATGGATTTGGTTAGGTGTGATGTCGAATCAGCATCTAGACAGACTACTTACAGTGTTTATAATGTGGTTCAGTTCAGAAAAGAAACATACACTTTATCTTCCAGGTCTTCAGCCATTCTGAGGATCTCAAACAAGAGCACCATCTTCCCAGAGTGCTCCAGGATTTTCGCGTCCCTTTCAGACACCAGATTCTTGAACCAGCACGCTTCTCGACTTTGAGACATCGAGCTGATGGTTGCTTTCTCTCCTACACAGAATATAACACAGAATATAACACAGGGCAAGATTATTGTGCATGCTACAGGGGTGGAGAATTACTGACAGATAGAGTTTTAATACCTTCCCCTGCTGGAGCGCCTGTAGAAACGCCACTGCTGTCATCTTTGTTCCCTCCGTTCTCTCTCAGTCCACTATATTAAAATAAGAAAAGTGTATAAAAAGTATACAAGTGGCTTCAGAAAGTACACTTGTCTGCCACTAATCTACACGATACCTACTTTTTGCACGTTTATCAACCTACATTTACAGGAATATACAACTTTACATATGTACATGTGCTTCAATGCATCCTGTTTCCTTTAAACACAAGTGAGACGGCTCCAACATTGGCA